AACCTTGTTCCCAGGTTTTCTCTCTTGCTCTTAACTCTGCTCTTACCCGTCTTTATGACTTAACGACGCCTGCTCTGTTTAACAATATTCGCACAGGAGTCCTGAGTATTAGAGTGAATCCGGATACGTGTAGACGGGCAAATTCGATCTGAAAATGGATACGCGTGGGCGTGGAAATTTTTTAATCTGGAAAGAAATAGTGGCGGATTAAAAGATATCAGGATACGTGTGGAGGGGGCGTGAATGAACGCTTGGATGGCTTGCCGTCCAGTGAGCCGTTGCTAAGTTGTATTCAAGCATGTGACCAAGCTTCACAAAGGACCTCTCTGTCTCAGGTACATTAATGCAAAGTCTACAAATGATACTTACGTTAAAGCGCAGCAAAAAGGATGGTGGCAGACATTTTCAGAGACACTGCAACGAACTGTTTTCACTAGCAACGAAGGCTCCTTGCTTAGTTTCATGTGTTTTATACTACGACACTTAGTCCTCCTGAACCTTCCGAGAGAATCAGAGCACTTTGACAAGAAAAACTGTATCTGGCCGGCATGGTTTTAACCTTGAATAATCAATATAAAGCTCGCAGCCCAGGCGACCCAAAGAATTTTGTTTGCTACTTTCTAAATTCGCAAAATAACATGAAATGACCAAAGAGAAGGATTTTCTCTCTCTCTTTATTTGCGCTTGACAATATATTTTATGTTTTTCCTCTAATCTGAGTGTGCGCACAAATGTGACTTAAATAGTAAAGATGCTAGACTTAAACAGTATTTTAAATGAACTATAGTATAGTTACTATAGTGCAATAATGGTACTATTTTACATGATGTTCACTGCATAATCTCCCTTAAACATTTTGAAATATTATTGCATGATGCCAAAAATCACTAAAAGTCATATGGATGGAAATAAGATGAATAACATCGCATACCTCGTATTAACTGCACTGCCTCGAGTGCAGGCTTTTTTAAGGTTCTTAATGAAAGATGGGAAGGTAAAACATTCGCTTTTTTTTTCTTTCCTTTCCGTTTCCTCCTTTGTCTCGCTTTACTTGATAATTCAGCTTAAATACCCCGAGAACAATCGCGAGCGACTGCGGACGAGGCAGGTAAATTGCATGCTGATAATAAAATCTAATAACATGTCTACGGGCAGACATTTGAACAAACGATGGCGGAATATGTCATTTATGCGAATAGAATATTATCGAGAATTATAATATTTCTAAACAAATAGTAGCAGTACACAATCGCCTTAAAAATGATTTTATCCTCGTCAGATCGCTTTAAAGTTTTCACCAGTGATTGACTATAAATTGGAGTTTGTCAAAATGTAGTTTTAAGTAGAATCGATATCAGTATAACAATAGTCTGCAGTGCAGGCGTATTTAATGGCGGGCCAAAGCTGCTTGTTTATGTTCGTATTCTTGTAGCCGCCATCCTTGATTTTATGACGGAGGAAGATTGGGAGAGAAGAAGCACTACAGGCTACTATATTGGCTACTATGACAACAACAAACAAAAAACTCTGAAACCTATAAAAGCTAACTTTTGCACGATCTACAAAGACCTGCTACTGAAAATCCGATACAAGGAACTTATAAATTGTGACGTTTATTAAATAGCCTCCGTGAGTAATAAAAAAATGTGCATGTTTGAATTCAAATAAAACGTAAATGTATTTCAAACCAAACCCTTCAATAGCCTTTATAAATTATTCAATAAAAAATGGACCAAAAAGTTCTCAATAACTCAAATTAATTTTAAGTAGCGTCAGAACGCTGCTTAATATTATATTTTGCTGCCTGAAAACTTTGGTGTATTTTCTTTCTTGCAGTCCTGAAAAGTAATCTGTTTTCTCAGTACATTTCAGTGTGAAAAAAAACTGCATCGAAACACCTTAAGTAATGAAAATGCAAAATGACATCAGATGAATATCTGATGGCATGGAATAAATACTGTGGCAAGTTATATTTGATAAGTATCAAAGAAGAACAAAATGTTGGCATAATATGAATGAAAATATATCGCAATTAACGTTGCTTACGTATAGGAATTAATAAATTGCATTGAAATATGTGCTAAACTACGTGTATATTTTAAATCTAGTAACTACACGTAAGTCAATGGCAAACACTAGCAGGGGAGATTCCATCCTGAGATTTCAACCCTTTGCGTTAAATCTGCATGAAAATACAGATATAGAATGAGAGTTGCCAAGAAGGCAATAAAAAACCTACCCTCAAAACGTGGGACATGAACGGGCGACGAAGTCCCATTAACCATCCTATGCCTCTTGTTCAGTGTTGCATTTTGTGAGCAAAAGCTTATCTCAGTAGTGCATCACTTCTTAAAGTGCTCGGCATAAACTAAACATTTCGAATTTTTTTTTGTAAAAAAGTACACATTACTAAGAGAAAACATATATTTTTTGATTAAAAGTTCACATTGCTACGAGAGTCTCCACGAAAAAAAATCATATGCTTTGCGATTTGAACACAAAGTGATTCTTTAAAATGTGAAACGTTCAAATTTGCCGCCATTTTGGCACACCTGGAATTAGGTCTTCTTTCGCAAGCCTCCCGGAAACAAAGGCAGGGGCGGATCTAGGGGGAGGGTGCAGGGGGTGCACACCTCCACCCCCTCCCCCCCCCCCACGCCGCCACGGCGGGTTCTCATACCCCCACTCTCACTCACAAACATGCGTCTCTTTTT